TTATATTTATTTTGAATCGGTTTTTATTTTGCTACAGTGGACGACAAAAATAATATAATTACAATAATAATCATATTAACGAATTTCTCCGAAATAATTATAAAGTTTGGTTTTATTGATGCAAGTTGTTCAAGGGAGTATTTAAAATATAGGTTTCCTTCTTCTTTGGAATGTGGCTAGAAAAAAGTAAGAAAAAACAAATGCTCTTGATTCTAGACTTCAACCTTTGGACAAATCGTTTTTTAAATCTTTAAAGCACAATTTTAATGAAGCGTCAGAGGCATGGATGCACACACATCCGGGCAGCGTTATAAAACAGAGCAGCTTCTATGGCTACAGTACTGCACGGATTTGAACCTTGTGGTTTGTTGCCACCTGATCGTCATAAGATCAGAGAAGAAGATTATGTTGCAATGGATAAGTTTCGAAGAGGACGATAGAAGCACTCTGGATGGAAGTAATGATGAAACTGGCACTATAACACACAAAACCATTAACTAACATGAAAGATCCTCAGAAAATAGGATAATGGAAGCTACCATAGGACAAATATACCCGTTTGATGATCCACAGCCATCTACAAACAGTGGTGGAATAACAGAATCCAAATCTTTAAACCTTAAAGACATTGAAGATTCATCAGTGAGTGTTTTCGTAGATAAAAAATGCCCTTAAAAGAGATCGTTTGCTCTGCTCATAAAATAGGTGGCCCAAAAGATTCAGTCCAACTTATAAGGTCTCATCTCCAGAACCTTTCTCCAATTCCAAGAATTAAAATCGTACAAAATAATCTGTCAAAAGGTACTACAGCAGCTCAAGCTTTAACCGAAAGTCCATACAAAAATGACTTAGAAAAGAAAATTGATGAAAATGAGACGAAGAAAGTAAAATTAAAGCTAAACAAAGAAGCCAAGGGAAAAGTAGGATACGCCAACAAGAGTAAATTGAAGGAATCAAAAACAATGAACACGAAAAAAAGGTGACATCAGAAAGCTCTAGAAATGAAGAATGGCACTGCATAATTTGTAACGGAAATAGAAAAGAAAGTTCTGGGTACATGAACTATGTGCTGGAGTTGATAAAGAGACTATTACATATCAATGCGACAGTTGTGGTACATGAATAACATAAGTACGATTTAAGCACACCAAGGTACGAATCAAGATCAATGTTCCTATTTCGTACTTTTGTCACGATTTTTATAAACCGAAAATTTTCAGTTTTTTTAAGTTCTTATGTGTATTGAGTTGTAACAATAAGCTTAAGAATTAAATGAAGTTTACGTTTATATGCTTGTTGTTGTTGCTTAAGTATTAACAATCCCTATAAAATGAAAATATCTTAGGGGGTACGATTTAGGCATAGTTACCCTAAGTGAGGCGCAGTTCAAATAAATTTAGTTTGAAGTACCATCAACTGGCTATTTCTGTACAATGTCAAACTTTTTGATATGAAACATACAGGGTGTTGATTTTAAGAAAATCAAAAGTCTGGTCCTGGACCTTTTAATTTTCTTACCAGTTTTAAATTATGTAATGTAATATGGAATCTGTGTTTTGATACGGAATACAGGTTGGGCTATTAATTTGAGCGAATTTTAAAAAATCATAGAAAAAACTACAAAGCGTACAGAAGATGATTTAAATTTTTAATAGACACATGGAGTTTTTTTTTAAATAAAATCATTGAGATATGAGCCATCGAGACGTACGCACTCCTCGAAGAGAAAAAAATCCAGTGGCGTGAGATCTGGGCTCTGGGGAGGCCCTAATATGATTTGATAGTTGATATACGTCGGAAAAGTATAATTTAAATTTCTCTCAAAAGCATGCTACATATGCAAACTTTGTGGATCAATCGGATTCTCAGTAAGGGCTACGCCTCCTCTACAGCCCCCCATCCCCCTCGGGAACCCATGTAGAATGACGAACTAATACAGAAACTGATGCTGATTGCTTTTCTAATACAATATTTTCGGAAAGTATAGAGTTTTTTGCCTAAACATATTCAGTAACCTTGCGTCCAAATTTCATCAAACTCTGTAAGTAATCTTAAAAAAAATCACAAACGTGATTTTCTCCTTGCTGTGGCAAGCAACATTGAAAAAGCAAAAACATTTCAACTCTAACATTTCATGAACTCCTTCCTTTCTCAAACGTTTTCGAGATTTAGTATTTTGCATTTATTACAAAGGCTTGAAATATGCATAAATATGCGACAACGCATTACACACGCTTTTTTAATTCTGCCCATTGCCTACTGACTTAACCTCATTGCCATAAAATAAGATGTAAGTAGCGTCAGTGGTTTCAAAAATATATTAACAGAAATCTTCAGGTTTTGCCTGGTTTTAGTTTTAACGTCCATCGGCACTCCAGAGTGTCCCGCCTTAAATGGACATAGCGAAATGGTAGGTGGTTTTGGTCCAAACTAAAATATAGAATTTTATAGTTTTAATTATCCTGTATATTCGTAAAAAAAGGAACTTTCTTATTAGATACAGTGGCGGATTTAGAGGGGCGCGCTTTTGTCGTCCCCCCCCCCTAGACGTCTGACACTTGCTTTTGTAATCTAACACCATTATTACTAACTAAAAGTTATAGCTATAGGAACTGCGCGTTGCGATATTTTGGTATCATTTGGTTTTCCAAGCGCTGTCCCTCTTTGACATCACTTACGTTTACAGCACAATTCTTACGATTTATACGTATATACGAGTATTGTGACTTGTGACAAATCTAGGTCTGAGTAACATATTAGCTATACAGATTGCACTTAAAAAGCGATTTATGTTCTGTTTGTTGCTTAGTTATAATTTGAAAGGTGCGTAAAAGCTTGATTGATGCTTAAAGTAAATACCACACGTCCCGCATCTCTTCCCGCGTATGTGTCTAATTATGTTGCTATATTCAATTCGTTTAAATCACAGAGATTCTGCACTCTGCACTACATGTGAACATGTACAGTCATGTATTCCTGTACTTGTTTCGCACAAACATACACTATCAAAGTAATTACGATCTAACAGATATAGTTTGTTCCAAAGATTCCCAACATTTTTACATGCGATCGAACCGATTCTAAAACTGAGAAAACAACTATGCCGTAAATCTAAGTTCGACAACGGAAGTCTCATGGATAACTGTAACATCTATAAAGAATATCAAAAGGTAATTGACTATTCCTATTGATATTTTTATGACCTGCTGATATTAGTATTTGTACCAATTACTTAATTTGCTTAATGGACAGTTTAGTCTTTATCCTTAAGCTTAGTACACATTAGTAGACCCCACTGCATAAGTTTTTTATAGTGGGTCTGGAGACGATCTCAAGACACAATCTATAGATGGTTTATAGCAGTGGTCGCCAACCTTTTCAGTGTGTTGAGCTACTTTGAAAATTTTGGAATAAACAGTGAGCTACCTAGTCGTCCCGTCTCCCCTCCCCCCGTCTTCATAAGGTTTCTTTTTTTGTGTAATTATCTGAGGGACACCCAGTATGATGATTCAGCTGCTGCCTTACTTTTGTCGATTGTTTTTAAAAACATTGTCTGTTGACCATTTAACTGATTTTTTAATTGTTTCCGTTTTTCCGCTCTGGTTGCAGAAGGTAATGGGAATAATTTTTAAAAATTCGAACCTACAGTTCAATCTCGATATTCCCTTTTTTAGCAACGGAAACAGATGTATTACATAACAAACATACCTTTTCACCTTCTGTAAAGAAATATTGTTCTTCCCATTCCGAATGGAAATTGTATGACTTCATCTTCTTACTACGGCTCATAATGTTTTTAATTGCAGGCCAACTCTAACCCAACCGCTGGAATTTGTGCCGTTCAGTTTTAAACTGAGCGCACTGTCGCCGTGCCTTGCGTATTTATTCCGTTCAAAGTAATCGAGATCGTTCTCGAACAGATCGCTCACAGCAGTGTTGCCGCTGATTTTAGTATAAAATTTGCGGAAGCTTCTATGGCTTTTACACCTTTTTAAAATATGTTGTGAGCCACCAGAATAACCTTTGCGAGCTACCGGTAGCTCGTGATCGACGGGTTGGCGACCACTGGTCTATAAACATCCTTCTTTGTCTCGTCTAGCGTCCATACGATAAAGTGAATTTCTCGGTCTCATGTTCGTTTTTGTCATCAAAGACACTGTTCTTTGTGGACTGCACTGGGATATGTCTCGGGGTCCCTCAGAATGTTTCTTTTTCGGTTAACCGAGCAATGGAGTTTTTTATATTTTAATCTTTAATGTTATTACTCAGGTTAATTATAAATGAAACGTACTTATTTTCTTCTCGTATAATAAAATATTGCCTTTCTGGGGATTTCTGAGCATTTGCCATGTTTTTTTTTTCAAGCTGGCATTGACCAAATAGAACACAATGGATTTAAGGAGCAATAATAGGATATATTCTACAAGTGCCATTGAGATTGAAAAACTACCAGTCCCAAATCCGCCGTTGTTCGAATAAAAAGTTTTCCTAGAAAAATTGGTGTACCCATTTAGTGCTTCGATGTTTTAAATACCCCCTTGAACAACTTGCGTCAATAACACAAAACTTTACAATTATTTGGCAAGCCAGGAGAATGTGCGTCTAATATGATCAGACTAAATATACATAATTAATTAGACAATTGATGTTCGCTATATATGTGTTTTCAGATGGCGTTTAAGATTAGCTAAATGAACAGTTCTATAATTGCAATGTTGGCAATAATGTATTTTATAGGTGATACTCTTCATAAATTGGACATTATCGCTATGGCGAGTCAAAATGTGGCTGTCTAACTGCACTTTCTGTAAAAATTGTTTGTCACACCCTACACAGAATATTGGTTTAACTTCCATGTGAATTCTCAAATGTTGATTATAATGGCGTTTATGATAGGTTTTATATTGACACCTGTCACACTGGTAGCTCGGAGCATTCTCTTTAGAGTGATTTAACATATGCCCAGTTAAGTTGCTTGCATTTGTCGTTTTGTATTCACATATAGCGCACGTATGAATTTTTCTCGATATTGACTGCATTAATGATGGATGCTTGCGCAAGATGTGGTCATCAAGGTAAGCTTTTCGCGTGAAGGAACTTTTGCATTCTCGACAGCAGAATTTAGTGGGATTTTTTGAATGTATCGCTGATATGTGTGTGTTTAAGTTGCACTTGTGATTTGCTGAATAACTGCAATGGGGACAAGCGAATTTCTTTCTTTCTTCTTTGGAATGTGTCAAGCATTTTTTTCTATCTGTTGTGGGCGGTACACTAGAAAAAAATAAAGATCAACTAATTTAAAATGATAGCACCTATTTTACTCCAGGCGGATCACGATTTAAAGTAGCCTAAATTTTATATTGGAGGTGTTTCACGATACCATATGTAACAAAAATATCTGACTGCCGTATTAAAAAAATTATAAAAATAAGTTTCCGCTGATACTTTTTCTCACGCTTTATTTGGTATCTTAAAAGTAATATCAGAGCAAAACCAAAAATAATTCTCTTATTCATTCTAAACTAGGTTCATATGATAAATTAATATATTATTTTCTATTATGAAGGTGACTTAGTAAATCATATCGCGGATAAATGCGTCGAATCGCTGCCCTGAGGGTAAGCGAACTTTATTCTCCCCCCTTTAAGATGAATCATAAGCCTAATTAAATGGGAATCTGTGTTTTGTTACGAAATACAGGTTGGGCCATTAAGTTGAGCGGATTTTAAAAAACAAAGAAAAAAACTACAAAGCGTGGGGAAGATAATTTATACTTTTACTAAAGTAGATACATTTAAAAATAACATCAATGAGATGTGAGCCATCGAGACGTACGTACTCCCCGAATCTAGACAACTTCGTAAAAACTCGTTGACACATCGCTCGTGGGATAGCGGACATCTCAAAAATGTTGTGGTTGAGCTGGGCAATCGTCGTCGGTTTATTGGCGTAAACGCGGCTCTTGAGGTATCCCCAGAGAAAAGAATCCAGTGGAGTTTCAGGCAGCTGCGGTGGACTCGGTAGACTCTTCGGTCTCCTAATCAGTCGCCGTGCGCTGTGCGGATTAGAATACCGTCCCAAGAGAAAATTTTCACTTGGCTATGGATATTGTGCTTGTCCGTAGTCTGTAGGTGGTAGATGGTAAGATGGTCTCTGACTGTCGAACGCGGAAATACCACCCGGCGAATCTCGTAGGCGGGGCAAGAATGTGTGCATGTTGCATGCGAACGTGTTCCCTCGCCAGAGTCCGAGTGGCGTCCCCCCTTTCCCATATAGGACCACGGTACCCCATGCGTGTTTAGGCCTTAGGCCTTAGGCTTTCGTGGTAGTTGGAATATAAAAAAAAATCTGGGCTCCGATTTGATAGTTGATATACGTCGAAAAAGGAAAATTTGAATTTCACTCAAAAGCATGCTAAATATGCAAACTTTATGGAAAAATCGGATTCTCAGGAGGAGCCGTGGCCCTCGGGAACCCATGTAGTATGACGAGCTAATACCGAAACTGATGCTGATTGCTTTTATACTACAATTATTTTCGGAAAGTATAGAGTTTTTTGCTTGAAAATATTCAGAAACCTTGTGACAAAATTTCATCAAACTCTGAAAGTACTCTTCACAAAGGAAACAAACAAAAATCACAAATGTAGTTTCCTCCTTGCTGTGGCAAGTAACATTGAGAAAGCAAAAACATTTCAACTCTTACATTTCATGAACTCCCTTTCACAAACGCTTTCAACTTTTAATATTTTGCATTTATTACAAAGTCTAGAAATATGCATAACTATGTGACAACGCATTACACACAAAAGTTTATGTTATTTTTTTTCTGCCCATTGCCTACTGACTGTACCTCACTGCCATAGAATAAGATGTTACTAGCGTCAATGGTTTCAAAAATATATTAATAGAAATCCAGGTATTATAAAAAATGTTTGTTAAATATTTGTAGCGACAGATTTTTTAATATCTAATAAATATATTTCTTATATATTTATAAAATATTCATTATAGATGTTTGTAGTAGATATAATTGATATATTTTTGCGCTATTTTTTCCAAATAGAAAATATATGAGGAAAGACTTTTAAACACCAATTTTATATTTTGATGAAATATCTAATATTTTTCGTAAATGTATTGATTTTCAAGCATCAATCTGATACATATTTTCAGTGTATATAGAAAATTCTTCATTGGTTATTTTAGCAAAACCTGTAGGAATGCTTATATAAAATTGGGTTTATAAAGAAAATTCATTCTAGATATAATGGTATAATTTGCTAGAAAAATATTATTAAAAAAACATTCTAAGCCTCTTCTGAATCTTGCAAGTTCACTCCTCTGAAAAAAAAAACTTACTAATTAACATATGAAGTATTATTGAATACATAAGTTGCTTTCCAGGGTATTTGTTGGTGCTGAGCATGGTGAGTTACTCCGAGTAGCTCAACTGGGTCACTGAAAAAGCAGCTCTATAATGCACCTAAAAGGACCCCACATGTTATGCCTATGATAGTTCGAGATTTGGTTAAAATTTAAGAAAATTTAGTATGTGATTTAAGATACCTTGATGAAAAATGTCCATGTGCACAACTTGATAATTTGACTAACACTTTGATTTTGTTGAAATGTGACTTTTTTAGTAAGGGACCTAACTTAGCCATAACTATTTAGTGATTTCATATTTTAATTCAAGGGACAAAAGTATAGTATTTTCGACTGTTAAAATTTTTGAACGTACTACGACAAAAATAATAATAATAATTGAGATATTTCAAAAAAACATTTTTGATGTATCTCGATCAAGTTGCGATTATATGTCTTTTCATTGGTATGTTATCAACATAATTTTCGTATCCATTCTCAGATAAATCCACCAATACCAAATAACTGTTACACTTCAAGGCAAGTTATTTATGGTCTTATGAATACCTTTATACTCAACTGGCACAATAATGTTTACTAGTCAGATAAATTAACCTATGTAATTATCGAAAAACTTAGGTACCTTTTTCAAAATAAAAAAAAACAAATAATGAACCACTTGGAGGTACACAGGAAGCATAGTGAAAGTCACAGGTAAAATGGCTGCCGGCAAACGGGTCGCCTAGGCCGACTTGCTATTATCCCATTGGTCGCTCGAGGTCACACGCACATGCGCCGTAGCCGAAAATATTTAATGAATATTTTGTAAATATTGAAAAATAGAATTTAATGAATATTATAAAAGAAATATTTTATTTAAAATATTTAAAAGGTCTTTAATAAATTTTTAATAAAGATATTATATTACAAATATTTATTAAATATTTGTTTAAGAAAACAAATATTTAAGTAAAATAAAAATATTATTGAATATTAATATTATTAAGGTATTTAATGGATATTTTGTGTTATCGGGGAAGTGAGGCGCAGTTCAAATAAATTTCGTTTGAAGTACCATCAACTGGATAATTTTGTACAATGTCAAACTTTTTGATATGAAACTTGTTTAACAAAATCAAAAGTCTAGTCCTAGTCCTTTTAATTTTCTTACCAGTTTTAGATTTCGCCTGATCACTTCTAATATTGTACAGAACCTAATTGAAATCGCTTCACTTTTCACTATTACCTGAAATATTGAATTTTATAGTTTTGGCATGCTTACTAAAATTATCCTGTATATGCGTAAAAAAGAATTTAGAACTTTTTATTTACAGATATGAAGAGTCCTCGGTCCATACAACCCGGGGAACCCGGTATGCGCATGTTCTGCAGAGAACTATTTTCTACCTTCCAAAAGGCGAAACATTTTATTTATAAGGGTACGTCGTCTAGACACAATGCTAACGCCAGGTCGAATTATTCTGTGCTTGATGCTAGCGCCCAATAAAATACCTGCAGTACCATAGCAAAGGAATTATCCATAAGGAATCCCCGACAGCACGAAATATTCATTAAATATAAATCAATATTTAATAATATTTTTATCATACTTAAATATTTGGAATATAATAGTTTTATTAAAGATTTATTCAATATAATTTTTAATATTTTAAATACAATATTTCTCTTATAATATTCATTAAATATTTACTTTTCAATCAATGGAAAATGTTAAACCGGCGCATTTGCGTGTGGCCCCGAGCCACCAATGGCATAATGGCATGCGGACCTGAGCCGACTTGTTTGCCGGCATTCATTTTGCCTGTGAGTTTCACTACGATAGCCTCCTTCCTGTGTACCTCCAAGTGGTACATTATTTGAGTGTTTTTTTGTGGAAAAGGGTAAGTTTTTCGATAATTACATAGCTTAATTTATCTGACTAGTAAACATTATTGTGCCAGTTGAGTATAAAGGTATTTACAAGACCATAAATAACTAGCCTTGAAGTGTAACAGTTATTTGGGATTGGTGGATTTATCTGAGAAAATTACATTCATTACATCCCAATAGTTATATCATCGCAACTTGATTGAGATACATCAAAATGGTTTTTTCAAATATCTCAATTATATATATATTTGTCTTAGTTGGAGGCAAATCAGCTGTAACTGTAACTATTTTAATTTTAGTTTTTAAGTTCAACAACGACGTTCAAAAATTTAACAGTCGAAAATACTATAGGTTTTTCCCTTGAATTATAATATAAAATCACAAAATAGTTATGACTAAATTAGCCGCCTTACTACTGCAAAGTAGTCACATGTCAACAAAACCAATAAGTGGTGTATTTTTAAAAACCTTTTCTTTGAAAGTTAATCAAAGGATCAAGTTGTGCCCGTGGACGTTTTTTATCAAGTTATCTAAAATAACATACCAAATTTTCTTAAAAATTAACCAAATATCGAACTTTCGTAGGAAGAAAATGTGGGGTCATTTTAGGTGCACTATAGAGCTGCTTTTCAGTGACCTAGTTGAGCAGCGCTCAGCACCAATATTGTTCCACTGCATTTTATATTCTTATAAATACACTGGAAAGCAGCTTATGTATTCTATAATACTTCATAATTAGTAAGTTTTTTTTCAGAGGATTGGTTTTCAAGATTCAGAAGAGGCTTAGAATGTTTTTTAATAATATTTTTATAGCAAATTAAACCATTATATCTAGAATGAATTTTCTTTATAAACCCAATTTTATAAAAGCATTCCGTCAGATTTTGCTGAAATAACCAATGAAGAATTTTCGCTACTGTTGCGTCATGTAGAACTTTGGATTTAACTGTTTTTTCACTTGAAACTTATAGAGGATAGTCTGATAGATTATTTTGAATAAAAAAAGTGTGGATGAAGCACGCTTTTGATGCATTTTTTCCCAAAACACTGTATTTTTAGCAGCTATTTCCTCAATTATTTCTACTGCCATATGTCATATGACGTTGACGTCTGTGCATATGTCATATACATGAGATGCGCTTGTCCGAGGTGTTGCCGGATTGCGCCCCACATTTATGGAAAAATATGAAAAGTGGAAAATTTATATACTCGTATATAGTTAATTAATGAAACGCAAAAATAAAAAACTGAAATAAACAGTAGCAAAATAAAAAGCGGTTCTTAATAAGTATAAAACAAAAAATAAAAACAGTAGTAAAACAAAAAAACAGTTCCATGTAATTATAAAAAAATTAAAAATAACAAACAGCTGTAAAATAAAAAGCAATTTGGATGGAATGGAATTGTTTTTCGTTGTATTACTGTTCTTACTTTTTGTTTTTCGTTGTCACTTAGAATTGCTTTTTATGTTACTGTTATTTTTTGTTTTTTATATAATTATTACATGTAATAATTGTTTTTTGTTTCACTACTTCTTATTTTTTGTTATCACTTAAAATATTTATTTTACTTTTTGTTATTTTTTGTTTTTTATAATTACATGGAATTTTTGTTTGTTTTACTACTGTTATTTTTTGTTTTATATTTATTAGGAATCGCTTTTTATTTTGCTACTGTTGTTTGCTTCAGTTTTTCGTTTTTGTGTTTCATTAATTATCTATGTACGAGTATATAAAGTTTCCATGTTTCATATTTTTCCATAAATGCGGAGCCAATCCGGCAACACCGCGGACAAGCGCATCTCTTATATGACATATGCACTGACGTCAACGTCATATGGCAGATGGTGGTAGAAATAATGGGGGAAATAACTGCTAAAAATACAGTGTTTAAGGAAAAAAATCATCAAAATCGTGCCTCTTCCACACTTTTTTTGATTTAAAATAATCTTTCAGACTACCCTCTATAAGTTTCAAGTGAAAAATCAGTAAAATCAGAGGTTCTACAAGATGCAACAGTACCGAATTTTCTATATATATATATATATATATATACTGAAAATTTGTATCAGATAAATGCTTGAAAATCAAAATATAGAATTGATATTTAAAAATCTTTCCTCATATATTTTCTAAATATTTGTAAAAAATATCGCATGAATTATATATATGTACTACAAATATCTATATTGAATATTTTATGAATATATAAGAAATAGATTCATTAAATATTAAAAAAATCCGTCGCTACAAATATTTAATAGACATTTTTTAAAAATATTTAATAAATGTGAAATGCTATCGGGAATTCGTTCCACCTGGTCAAACAGTTACTGGCAACTATTATCTCCGAATTTTAAACCGTTTGATGGCCAGAATCCGTCGCATCCGTCCCGAATATCAAGATTCAGACTGAACACGATAACCCGCCATCTCACAATTCCCTAATTGGTCAAGTTTTGGCCCGAAATAGAGTTTGTGTGCTTCAGTATCATCCGCCATATTCACCTGATTTGGCTCCGCGCAACTTTTCTTTATTTCCTAAATTGAAATTAAAGGATGCTTTTTCGAAGACATTCCGACCATCTAAACAGCTTCAATACGGGCACTAGAGGCAATACCACATAATGAGCTGGATCAGGCATTTGAATCACTTTTACATCGACGTAACAGGTGTATTGAACCAAGAGGAGATTATATTGAATAAATAAAATACGTACGAAAATATGTTGTTTGTATCCTATTTTGTAGGCCCAGTCTCAAAAATTATTTGTCGCACTGTGTAAACCACTTTAAAAAAAATTGGCAGACTTGGGCCTCCTCTGAATCCGCGTTTGCTTACATGACGTGTTAACTTATATACTTTGACATATACTTACGTTTTCTTATGTGATTTCTTATTACAAAAGCATTCATCTTCATGCTTCTCTCCATCTTCATAGTTCTCAAAAAGTCTGGAACAATATTGACAGATTACTGCCTTTTCCACATCAAATGTTATTATATTTCCTGGCCTGAATCGACACCTCCGTTGATGTGAGTCCCTATATTCTTTCGTGCTCAATCCAATATGACAGTATTGGCAGGTATAATAGTTTTCTATTTTATCTGGATCCGGCTCGTAGAATTTTTTTGGATCAATGCCGAGTGTCTTAGCAAATGTGTGACCGTAATAGACCAGAAGTTCTTCATCTGGGCATATTTCCTTGCAAGTCCTGCAAATAATACTTATTTAGTGCTGCGACATATGAGCGTTATATTGATGTGCTGTATATAAAGATGGAACATGACACACTATCAGGTCACGTTTCTCCAAGGCCGATTATTACTCTTGGTCATACTCTAGACGTTTTAGGTGGATGTTTTCTGAAGTAGCTGAGATTTTTATTGGAGGTGTTCACCATTTTTTTTCGTTCTTTGTGACATTTTGTGACATATCCATCGCCTCCAGAGCAAAAGTTAAGAGGAATTTTTTTACTCATTTTTGAACAGACACGTATGACCTATGCATTTATTTATGATGCTCTGTGGAATTGACATTGACTCATTATTAAGCTACATTTCCATTCCATTCCATTTTCTCCCTTACCGACCGGGGCAAATGCTTGTTCTGGAAGTTGTTGTATGCAGTATACGACTTCTTCCCGTTCAAGTGGATGTACACGCGTTAAGGAATACCTCAGTGCCGATTGCCGGATGGCGGTACAAGTCCGCCAACGGGTCACTTTAGGTCTATTTACATTATTGACACGCAAAAAGAAGGTGGTAGACAAGGATCAGTCGACCGAGGCGGTACCACCCACTAGCTTTTTTCTTTTACGAGTAAGCTACGCAGTTGGTTATCTTCCCAAACCAAGATACTAGTGATGCTGGATCCCTCGAGTACTAAGAATTCCGGACGTAAGCTCACTCTACTCTCGGAATGTCATAAAAAAAAATGAGAAAAAAGTTATACAGGGTGACTTTGAAGTTGAGTCATTAATTTTCAGATAATGATTGTAGAAGGAAGATAAACCAAAATATGTGTGTAAAAATAAAAAAAAAATTAAAAAAAAATGTTTACCTTGTTTTATAAAGTATCCTCCCGACAAGTATTTCAGTGCGGACCTGTATTTGATCGTGAGGTCCCCTGTGAGGTCTTAAGTCACCTGATTCACGAGCCCGTTGTACTACATTAACAAAGGCACGAGGGGTTGGTTGCACTCGATTGGGAAACCGATCCGCATAAACATGTGCCATTTTTTATTTCGTTTGAGCCACGCAACAGACAGTATTCACACGCGACACTGACACTGACTGTATGTATAACTGAACTGAATAAAATAATAAACTGTACACAAACATCGTTCCAAATTCTTTCGCTTTTTTGTTTCCGATGCGATGAACCGGTAAGGCGGATTATATCCGTTGTTGCCAAACACGAGCACATGATATTGAGACAGGGCGGTACTCAAACTTCCAAAGGGCTATAACTTTGTTACTTTAATTTTACCAGAAAAATGGTAAAGGAAAAAAACGTTTCTTTTGATCAGATCTATTCACTGTTAAAATAAATGACTCAACTTATATATATATATATATATATATATATATAACATATAAGCCATAAAAGAGGTTCAACCTTGGCTTGATAGATAATACGCTGTAAGCCATTCTAAAAGTTGTCACAAAAGTCTAGTAAAATCTCGTACCAAAATGTAATGCAATAATTAAGAAAAAACTATATCTATATGTTTTTAATGTTCTTTTTGTTTTTTTGTTGAAGATTTATTTAGCATTAATGCTACATTGTCAATTTTGTAAAATTATTCGCTCACATATTTTTCTTCAATCCAATTTCTGTAATTTTACATCCTTGTCTATTAAAATTACATAACTATGCATTTTTATAATAAATAAAGTGATTTTTTAATTCCACCTTAAACATTTTTAAGTTCGAATACTGTTTAATATCATTATTCAATTTGTTAAATTCAAATACTCCCTTTTGAAATATAGATTCACTAGTTATGCTACTATTACAATTTTGCAGATGAAAATCGATATTGCCTTTAGTTTCGTAGTTATGATAATGACTATTTATCTTTGTGAAGTTTTCTAAATGTGATGGTAATGAATGATTTTTTAATTTGAATATGGCAACGAGAACTAAATAAAATGACATTTTTCACATTCAACCGCTGTAGTTCCTCTAATATACACTTAATCCTAGCATATTTGTTTTTATTTAAGATGATTCTCACAGCTTTATTTTGTAGAATTTGTAATTTTGAAAATATGTTTTCATTTGCTGTAAACAAGATGGTTGAACAATATAAAAAATGGGGAATAATTATAGTGTCATACACAATTTTTTTGGAATACATACTAAGATTATGTAAAACCCTATAGAAGTAATTTATTTTTTTTATATTCTTGAAATAATGTATTCATAATGCTCGTGAAATAGTAGTTTACTATCCACATATATACCAAGATATTTAAATGATTCGAATACTTAAATTTTTTCATAATTAATAATGAGCCTAGTTGCATTGTCACCTAACTGTTTCCCTATTGACATACATTTTGTTTTATTGGTGTTTAATTTAAGTTTATTATTCGTTTATCGTAACTTTTTGAAATCAATTACTGTAATTTCTCTCATTTTATTTTCATTGAACATATTTTCCATTTCGAAATATATCCATGAGTGATCACTTATTTTTGGGGTATGCTTAACTTCAACAATTAGATTTAGTTCATTAGTTATGAGTAAATCTATTTTTGTTTTCAAAAAGTTTTTATTTTCTTCCATAATCCATGGAAGTTTAGTACTTGTTTAATTTTTCTAGCATAGAACTCTTTACTGTCAAAATTTATATTGAAGTCTCCTAAATGTACATTTGTGCAATTCCTGTAATAATGTTTTTCACATATACTTACAAAAAATTCAATAAATCGATTGACGCTTTCACTTGGAGATCGGTAGTAAATATGCAGATTGTAATTTTTTGTACCATTATTTCCAGATTGATGTACCACCATTGATATTCAACAACTTCAATGTTCTGTACTTGGGCTTCAATGCTATATTACACTATTATTATTTATTACCGAGACCATCGCTCAAATTCAGCCTATACAGGGTGTCCGCAAAGTTTGTTTTTTTTCTTTACACAACATATGATATTTTTGAAAACTTGGCAGTATACCAATGTCGATGGGGCAACAGCAGATAAAATATTTTCATGATGGTGGCACTTCCGGTTATACCGGAAGTTGATGCAAACTTGCTTATTTTAAATTTACTCAATATTCGGATTCTACATAAAATTCTAATCACATTTCATGTATAATCTCCTATACTCAAGTCTGACCGTTTTTGACATATTTCAAATTTTATGTCAAAAATGACGTTTGTAGGCCCTAAAATAACTGCTTATTTCCCCTATGTAGAACACCTTATTGTTTAATGTGGATTGATTTTCTGGTAAACAGGGATATAGTTTAATAGATTTTGTCTGATATTTCGAAAATTATGTATACAGGGTGGTCAAAAAATTAGTATAAAAATTGAATGTCAAAAATTGCCAAAAGTCGATTTTTTCAAATGAAAACCCCCTGTTTGTTTTCCGCGTTCCGCCGTCATAGCCAATTAATTAAAAAGCTAAATCTATACTTATATAAGTTTTACAATAGAAAAGTAATAAATTGCAAATTACTCGAAAAGTAAACATTTTTGGGATAGATAGCTACTACTACGCTAACTTTTAATGCTTGATGCGATAAACTAAATAGGGGGTTTTCATTCGAAAAAATCGACTTTTGGCAATTTTTTACATTCAATTTTTATTCTAATTTTTTGACCACCCTGTATAAATAATTATCGAAATATCATATCTATTAAACTATATCCCTGTTTACCAGAAAATCAATCCACATTAATCAATAAGGTGTTCTATATAGGGAAAATAAACAATTATTTTAGGGCCTGCAAACGTCATTTTTGACAAAGTTTGAAATATTTCCAAAACGGTTAGACTTGGGTATAGGGGATTATACATGAAATGTGATTAGAATTTCATGTAGAATCCGAATATTGAGTAATATACCAATTTAAAATAAGGAAGTTGGCATCAACTTTGGTTTAACTAGGTTTAACCGCTTTAGCTTCCATTGCCCCATCGACATTAGTATACTCCCAAATTTTCAAAAATATCATATGTCTACTTTTTAAGAAATCTATCGATGGAGTTCCCGATGCGACACCCTGTAGATCTTGAGAAAATAAGCGGATTTTCTTAGTAGCATATACACCAATGTCTTGAGAGTACCGAGATATTGGGCTCCGCAAACTCAATCAAACCTGAACCAAACTGAAGCCGGACCTGGCATATCCCTCGATCACGTCCACAGCGCCAGCGCCAGCGTACAGATATACGACGTACGACTACGATGTAAAACAGATTTTACGACAGAGCCGTACTTGGAATTTCAATTCAACTGAACAGTGAGTACTTTTTCATTTATTTGTTTTACTTGTTCGCTCACGTTTCACCACACATTAGCTTTGTTATATCAAGCGTAGTCGTGTCTGAAAAGGAAAACCTCAACTTTGCGGACACCCTGTATAACAGATATTTAATAAACCTTGATCCTCTGGGATCCAAGCCGTACAAAATAAGGCTTTATTTTCACATTGAAAAAAGCTCATTATATTGTTGTTTGTAAAAATATTGTTACCTGTAGAACATTTTTCCGTCATACTGGAAAGCCACTAGATTTTGTTCAGCTGAACTTCTCGCACAGTTTACGTATCTAAGGTAGTTCGAATTTCTTTCGTCAGCTGCATCAATCTATGGAAATATAAAAAGTTATCTGACTGTTTGTAAAATACGCAATTAGTTCTGATATATTATCGCAAATAAAGTTAGGGAACAACTGGCGTATTCAAGGGGGCTTTGAGGCCTAATGAGTTTTATTTTCTACTCCACTGTACGAGGAAGTATTGCGATCACGAAACATTTCGAACATGAGATATCATGTTTCTTAGATACTATAAGACATGTACATCACGAAAAACCATAAAAATCGCTCAAACGTTTCTTGATGTTTCAGAGGCTCCTGATAATTTTCAGAAAATTTTTTGCAGGGGCTGAAAATCTGGTGTTGGGGGAGAGGGTATATGTATATTTTTTGGTGGTAGCAATTTATGTTTCCAGTCAGGTACTTCTACACACCTATTAGACATATTTCAGTCAAAGCGTAAATCAAATATTTTCCCTTAAATGTGTCTCTAACAGTTGAATTATAAATCTTCGATGTACGCGTGCCGGTCTACTCAACGAGCGCGCGCCTCTCCGCTTTGGATGGCTAGAGATGCGTGTATTGGTGTATACAGGGTGTTCCTTAATGACATGCTAATATTTAAGGAGATGATTCTTGGACCTATTTTAAGAAAAAAAATGAAAATGAACGTATGTTCTTTAACATTTGAGATACAGGGCGGTAAAGTTTACAGTAACAAATTTGTATTTTATAATAACTGTGATACTATTGTAGATATCCTTATGAAATTTAGTACCCCTCTGTGCATCAAGATGCATTTTCTGAGGTACAAACAATTTTATTATTTTTACCAGTGGCGTCCGTACGGGTTTTGTATTGAATATTTTTGGAGAAAACCGTGTAATAAAAACCATTTTTCAAATCTTCATTCATTCATGAGCAAAGTGGATCTCTTGACTTTCTTTCGTCCAACGCATGGTTTTCGCTCAAAGAAATGAAAATAGTTTTTCTTCAGGGTCAAATCGCTGAAAGACTGATGGGGCTACAAGAAGATTACGTGATCAAATTTGTCAATGCGAGTTCAAAAAAATACTTGCTTTCAGCAGCACTGCTGCAGCAGACGCGCCCCCTCCCAGCTCTTCAATTTTCAATCAGCGATAAACCCCTTACTGAGACGGACATTTTCTTGAACCTCCCTCCACACAAAAAAAAAAACGTAACGTTTTACTGGGTTCGGATGTAGAAGACAGAAAATTGAGTTTGAATTTCCATGAAATAACTGTAAAGTCGGGTTTTATTGGTGCAAGTTGTTCAAGGGGGTATTTAAAACATGGACGCATAAAATGAGTACACCAATTTTTGTGGGAAAACTTTTTATTTTACAAATAATGAGAAAACGTGATTTTTGGGATTCAATTGAAAGTGTTGGCAGAGGCTGATTCATACCACGAAGATATTTATTTTCTGAACATTTTATGCCAGGTAATAATATATCACTGTAAGCACAAAATGAAAAAATAACCAGTCTACTCCTTGAGAAATGGTCAGTTTTCAAAAAATTTCTTAAGAAATGAAAGGGAACTCTTCTTATTCAAACTGAATGCTAACGCGCTGTTTCATAAAGATTACGCAGATAGTCATTAAAAGAATCTAACAACACTCTGATTTCTTGTTATTAATTTTACATTCAGACGCACAATATAGACACTATAGTGTATTTACACACAAGATAGAATGGATGCGTGATTGCCAAAAGCAAGGACGGCGTACAAGGCCGCATTCAGGGGTACCTCCGAATGATGGACTACCACCAACGTGTTGTAAAACAAAGATGACAGAATTTAACAGAAACAGCAACTTAGCAAATTACTCAAATACACTTAACAACAACAACAGCAACAACCAAGCAAGGTGAATACGAAAACACGAGCACGCAGTGATACACGCGACGGACGGTGGTCTGAGTGCAACTCTGCCTGCCCTGCCCCGCGCATTATTCCGCCAGGCGACCGCTTGAAATTTAATGGCGAATTGACCAATAAGAGGCGTTGTCCCCACCTGTTACCGAGAGATCACGCGCTAACTGTTATTATTTACATCTCATCTTGAATTTGGATTCAGTTTACAGCCGATTTTTTCCATTTTGCCATTACGTAAATCCGCCACTGTGACGGACAAAACCACCAAAAAGTTGTTGCACTGGATTCAAAGGAGATGGTAAGTATTAATATTAATCGATTTGCAGGAAGACAAAAAAGAAGAATTAATTTTGTTATTTAACGATAAATTTGTTGTTCATTTATAAATTAGATTTAATATTCTAATCACTTTTAGGCTGCACTCTAAGAGTACAAGGGTAGGGTTGTCATCTGCCATCCGTCCAGTCAAGTTTTTAATTTTTACGTCAGAGGCACTGATGTCAACCCCTCCCCCCCTCCAGGGGGAAGATTGTCAGAAAATTCCGGCTTTTTCCTCTTGCCTTTAAATAAAAAGTACTCTTTTAATTCCCTTGCGGGTCAACACAACAGGCTCCTTATTGACAGTTAGCTGACAAACCTTCTCATCCATGTTAAAAATTAAATGCGGTTTATCCATCACATCTAGATCAGTCATCACTTTTTTCAGGGTGTCAAAATAATGTGCAATAATAAGTTCATTTAGCTTTGCTGCTCGTGCTGGGCTAACGTTTTGGCATTTTCTTCGAGCAACATCAGGGTGCCGTCTAAGAAATAACCTCAGCCATTTTCTTCCAGCCAGAGTTGACTGTTGTTTGTCAAACGGCCACTGAATATTTTGGATGTAAGGGGCAATCCTATCTCAGCAAGCCTGAATATTCTTGAGCACAACTCGTCTTCCTTGTCCTTAGTCAAGATCTGGCATGGCGCTGCAAGGTGCTCCGTGGTATTCCAAAATTGATTGCTGCCCGCTTTATTTTCTTACCCTGCTGAATTGCCGTAACAGCTTCACGGGGACTCAGAACTCCACTGAGCTCTATTTTTTGCGTCATCTCCTTTAAAAATGAGACCAGGTAAAAAACAATTGAGCAAAATATGATAGTGTTCCAAATATGGGCACTGCTCATATTTGGCGCTACTACTATTCGTCATTTATTTGTCTGGGCGGTCCGTAGGACCTTTGCCCATTAGTCACTGTCTGATGTACGTTAGTCGAATCTGTCAGTCCTGGTTGCCCAGAAACCAGACAAAGTCAAGGAAAAAGAGAAAGGGAAAGAGAAGAAAAAAGGAGAAGAACAAAGAAAAACAGATATGCTTAGTTTAAGAGGAAACACCTAGGCTTTTTGACTTGGTACACGGATTAATTTTGAGGTGAACTAAACAAATTTTTGATTCGGTTTTGTTAGAGTGTAATTTTGAGTTTACTAAAGATTCACGCTAACTTTTGATTACAGTGCGAGCCGTGGCCTTGAATGTTTACGAACTTGCTCCACTGTATAGTCCACTGAGTCACGCAACAGAGGGTTGCTGTGCGATTCCGCTTGACTATAACGTCGCTGCGCCTGAAGCTTGACATAATCCCTCAAGTAAGGAATGTCAAGGTCTCTGTGTAGTGTCTCATTTGAGACATACCATGGAGCGTTGCAAATTGTCCGCAAAGTTCTGCTTTGCAGTACTTGAAGACTTTGCATGCGTGTCTTGGCAAGAAAACACCAAGCCGCACATGCATAAGTAATGGCTGGTCTAATAATCATTTTATATAGTCGAACTTTGTTTATCAAACTCAATTTGGAGGATCTACATAACAAAGGATATAGTTGCCGAAACGCAATTTGGAATTTTGTTTTTATGGATGCTGTATGTTTCTGCCAGGTCATGCCTTTATCAAGGGTGACACCGAGATACTTGGCAGAATTTGTCCATGGTACACGATTTCCGTCTACAGAAACCTCTGCTGGGGGGGCGCGACGTTTTTTGGTACAATAAATAGCCTGCGTTTTCGAATGATTAATTTTTATCAGCCACCGTTCCGCCCACTCTAGAACTTCGTCCACCGCATTCTGCAACCCATCGTGAACCAGATCACCAGTACACGACTGGGCGACAAGTGCAGTGTCGTCAGCATAGAGGTAGACTTCACAGTTGCTGGGGGAAGGGACATCATGGATGAAAAGCGAATAAAGAATTGGTCCTAGGACCGAACCCTGAGGAACACCGGCCCGTACTCGCCGTGTTGTTGACAAAACATTGTTAATTTTGATCCGAAACTTCCTTCCTTCAAGAAAGGATTTCAGTAATGTTAGAAGCCAAAAAGGAAAACCCTTTTGGATTAGTTTATAGAGGAGGCCCGCGTGCCACACCTTGTCAAAGGCTTTTGAGACATCCAAAAGCAAGATGCCAGTACTCATGCTAAGGGTGAACCCTCTGGTTACATGCTCCACCAGGCTGACTGCCTGTAGCTCGGTGCTATGCTCGGACCGAAAACCGAATTGGACGTCAGGAATCACATTTTGATTTGACGAAAAATTCTCAAGGTGACGATAAATCACCTTTTCGGCGAGCTTAGAAGGAGCTGACAGCAGACTTATGGGACGGTAATCCTGAGGAAATATCGAACCCACCTTCTTTGGAATCTTGATGACCTCAGCAGTCTTCCACCCAGCAGGGAAGTACTGGATTTTGAGCGTCGCATTGATTATTGTCACCAAGTATGTCAGGGCTTTCGGCGAGAGCAGCTTCAACGCCTTGTTGGTGATTTGATCCTCCCCAGGTGCTTTACGCACCTTGAGGTCTTTAATATGACTTAGTAACTCCGCTGGTGTGCAATGTGGAAACTCGGAGGGTTCCGCTAATGTGCTATGTGGAGCCTCAGACGAATCTTCTGAAGAAGAGTCATCTGAAGAGGATTCAGTGCCTCCGCTAACGCCGTTGGCCCTAAAATATCTCCTGACGGATCGTACGATGTGCTGTTCCTCGTCGAGGTCATTATCGAGATCATAGTTGGGAGAGAACTGTTTTTCCATGGCATCAGCGAAAACCTCGACCTTATCCTCCGTTCTGAAGACTATGCCTTCAGGACCGTGGATGTGTGGGAGTTGTTCTCGCTTTCCGTTTCTGAGTGACTTTGCGACCCTCCAGAGAGGAATACTTGAATCAAGCATTCCCGCCAGAAAGTCGCTCCATTGCTCGTTGCGGAGTTCGTGCAGTGCGTTTCTCACTTCATGGACAAGATTAGTAGCCCTACGAGTGTCATCAGGATGACAAGACCTTTTAGCCTGCTTAATAGCGGCTCTTTTGTCAGAGATTTTCTGACGAATGTCCGCAGGCAAAAAAGGTCTGCCGTGTCGTTGTACAGGAAATACAGCTGCACGCTGTAGAGCTGCTTGAATGAAACTTGTCCACTCCGCTTGAGCGGCATCTATTCCAGACTCATCATCTATAATCGGGATATTGGGAAACTCTCTAAGGAGCAACTTGTATAGGTCCCAATTAATGCGTTTCCTTGGAGGAGCTGCCTCCTTAGAAGTTTGCTCATTGCCCACATCCAAGACAACAGGTAGATGGTCACTAGAGATATCATACAAGATTCGAGAAGAGATACTGTATCTACAGTTTTTAGATATCGCGAAATCGATGACATCTGGTGCCTGAAGATGGTTGAATGGATGATGTGTCGGCTCTTCAGTGCTATGTATAAGGTACCCATTTCGCATCACATGGTTGTACAATCGAACCCCACTAGTGGAATTCAACCTAGAATTCCATGCTCGATGTTTGCAGTTGAAGTCCCCTGCCACAATAAGCGGACCCGAGTAGTCCAAAAGGACCTCCAGATCCGCCTCTTGTAGCCTGGCACCACACCTGACATACACCGATGTGATCTTCAACGAGACACCTCCCGCCATATTGACCACCACAGAAGCTGCTTCGATGCTATGCATCTCCGCATTAGTGCTTCTATAATAGTCTATACCGCGTTTAATCAACACTGCTAAACCGCCGCCTCGACCATTCAATCTGTCACCTCGGATAACATCATAATTCGGGAGAGCTAAACGATCTCCCGGATTAAGCAACGTTTTCTGCAGTAAGGCCACATCTATACCTTCATCCAAAAGAGCTTGATGAAATTCCCGTTTTTTGGGAATATCCCTCATGCCCAAACAATTCCAAAAAAGAATTTTGATGAATGCAGGCTGTCTACTATTGTACCTAGACATTTTCAGGAAATATCGCCTGCAATGCTTGGGTAGCGCTAATCAGTGGGCTTATTATTTGTTGTAAGGACCTTAGCGCGGTTGCCAGGTCCACATTTTGCGTGCTCAAGGGAGGTTGGGCAGAGGGGGCAGGCAAGGTTGCCTCCCGAGCTGCGTCCGCGTATGATATATTGCGCCTTTGCGCTATAACTTGCAAGTTCCTCCTTGGAGTGAACTTGCAAGTCCGGCTATTTGCGGGATGTCCCTCTCCACAGTTCGCGCACTTGCGTTCTTCCTCTTCTGTGAGGGGGCACAAATGCGTCATGGGGTCCTTTGCACATTTTAAGCATTTGGGCGGTGCAGTGCAATATGACTGCGCATGCCCATACTTTTGGCAGCGGTGACACTGCCCAATGAGTCTGGAGTTCTTCTGAACCTCAACTCGAATGGCCAGTCCCAGCAGTTCGTGTTCGTTGAACACTTGCTGAGACTTCTGGCGCTTTCACAAGTGTCCATATTTGGCAGAATGGAGCTTAGTGACTATTTCAAGCAATACATACATTCTGCAGATTCATATGTAAACATCACGGACACTATATGCAAGTAAGAGTTACCAGCTTCACATTGATATATGGTGATCAATATGTTCTTTACATTTACAATAAAAAAACGACGGAAGTATTACAGACAGAGAGAGGTACAAGGTCCACGTGCACGGCAGCCATTCTCACTATTTACATATTGTAGTGCGCCAACTCGTAGATGATATAGAAAACAATTTATGCATTGAGTTTGTCTATGCTTAGTGGCTATATTTAACTGTAAATTACAGAGAATTATTTTATGAATCAACTTATACTTGCGCCGTTCTTGATGTACTAGACTTAGATCGTTACGTAACGTAAAAACGAACTTGTACAATTTGTGTACAGGTGCATACCAAAATTACCTGTTTCTTCTAAATGTATCGCTTCAGTCTTGTTTCGGCTTATTTCAATATTCTCATAAGCATTATCACTTTCTTCATCTGGAAGACTGTTCGCATCCACGTTCTCGTAAATATGACTACCTTCTGGCTCTAGCGAGTCATAATTTTCTTCCACCAATCGCGTCTTCTGTTCTGCTTCAGTTTTCTCTTCCGTTGATTTTATTTCGATATACTCGTAGTCGTCCTTAATATCAGGCTGAGAGCTGTCGTTTGCCCCGACAGTGCCCAAGTTTGGGTCAGTGTCCATATTTAGTTCAGGTATCTTAATTGTGTCTTCAGCTTGCATGATAACTTTATAAACAGTTCAGGGCATTCCAGTGTGGAATATCTTTTTTAATAAAATTTAGGGCTTATCTGTGACCATGTAAAAATTTCAGCTCTAAATATGTATACACAAGAGTATGAAGAAATCTTGAAAAAAATTGGTTTCTTCGCAACAAAAGGTGATAGACATCCGATTTATTTTAAAATGTGTATAATATCGTATGTTTTTCGAATACCGTAGCGAATCTGTTCAGTTACTCACATGTACGAAATGTTTGAATTTGTTTAGAAGAAAAAAACGTCACCCTTCGTTTTTCGCATAAAAGTGACAGTTATCTTCCGGAGTGGTTTGTGATTCACGTCTGCAAGGTAAATTCGTGTATTTTGCTATAAAATGCCCTTTGTACGAACCTTGTATAATGCTCAGTAAACTAGTAGTGATGGCCGGAAGACAGGTGTTTTGGTATAAACAATTAGAAATTCTCAAAAACTACTTGACCAATCGACTCCAATTTTCTTGTGGTTATTTAAAAGTATGAAGCCTAAGGATTCAAGCAGCTGCGTGAAATTATCGTCGCATTAGCAACAAGTGCCAAAACATGCATTTTGCCTCGGTTTTCGTATAAATAATAACGGCAATGTCCAATAAACAATACACAATATACAATACACAAAAAAGTGTACACTTGTGCTTGGGTTTTAACCGAAGTTGAATTATATTAATACAAAAGTATACTAGTCAAATGTATAAATTTGCATCATTTTATTATCAAATAACATATAGGTTTTTAGTGTCACAAACTTACGGATTTGTATCAATGGTTGATTTAGGATCCATAATTTTAACTCAATTTTTAAACGTTTTTTACATTTTATATGTTTAAAGTTTGCAGGAATTAACATTATAAAATTTTAAGCATAGAAAATAGAATGATCTTTATCTGATAGTTTTATTTAGTCTAGGAATTAGTACAGAGGTTTCCTTGAATCGCCGTTGATGGTTGTGGCTGATAGAAAGTAACAATTTTGGATTTTTTGTTAAATATAGAGGAAAAGAAGGTATTATGGAATATTGCAGGTGATTTGGAATACCTGGGTTTCTGCAAAGCCACTAGCTCCGTCTATCCAAAAACCTGCTATTTAGGTGGGAAAAGCGTAATTTCTGACATAAAGAAGCTAACCTGGTGTTTATATTACTCAGTTTGGCAGTGACTTTCGACAATACGAACATGTGCATTTGCAAAGTTTTTTGTATTGAATCTGCATTTATTTAAGTCACCCTGTTAAAAAATGGTTTTATTTGTTTTAAGTGCTTAATTAGGGAACGTATTAGGTATGTTGGTGTATATATTTTTGTTATTAGGGATTGAATTTGATATTTTTTTAATGTTTTTTAAAATACTGCAATGTTGCTAATTTGGAATACTACAGGTGAAGGTAATTTGGAATATTCCATAATTCCTTCAATTTTTAGACTCTCAAGAAAAAAAGTTTTTTGTTGGCAAATAGGTTTTATATTGTTTTTTTAGATACTTATTCCATCGCCAAAGGCGCGTAGAATACGAAGGAAGTGGGATCCCACATATATGACAAATGCAATTGCCGCCGTTCGGGAAAAAAGCATGGGCTACTTAAAACCTTCGCAGCATTTCAAGGTGCCACGTTCGAAGCTGTTTAGATTGGTAGGTGAGCAAAATACCCCTATAGAACACCTAGTCGCCAAACCAATTGGACATAAACCAGTTTTTGATGAAAATTTTGAGTCTATGCTAGTAGACTACGCCCTTAACATGGAAAGCAAATTTTATGGTTTGTCCCAAAGTGACCTGCGAAAAATGGCTTACAAGCTGGCTGCAAAAAATAACATTCCAAATCCCTTCACTAATAAAGCTGCATGGGCATGGAGATATTGGCTTAAAGGTTTTTTGCAAAGAAACAAAACTTTGACCGTGCGTAAGCCAACAGGCACATCGTATGCTAGAGCTCATGGTTTTACTAAGGAACGCATGACTGAGTTTTATGACATTCTGGACAAGGTCTATGACGAAACAAAATTTTCAGACGATATGATATTCGATGTCGATGAGACGGACCTCTCGATCGTACAAAGCAAACATCCGAAGATTATAGCGCGCCGAGGCAAGAAGCAAATTGCTGCCATAACATCTGCAGAAAGGGATTCGCTTATTACCATTGTCGGATGTATGAGTCCTGCAGGAATATTTGTGCTCCCACTCGTTATATTCCCTAGAAAAAATATGGCAGATGCACTCATGAGGGGAGCCCCCCTGGGATCCATAGGTCGGGCGCATCCTTCCGGCTAGATTCAAACCTATTTGTTTACAGAATGGTTTCGCCATTTCATTGACTTTAAAAAACCATCGGAAAAATCACCAGTCCTATTAATCTTGGATGGTCATTACAGCCATACCAAAAATATTGAACTCATTGATCTAGCAAGAGAGAATCATGTGACGTTAATATCTTTGCCTCCCCACTGCACACATAAGGTCCAGCCTTTGGACAGAGCTTTTATGAGCCCATTAAAAACTAATCGATTAAGTATATCAAGTTCTCCATATAAAAGAGAACTGGAGGAGGCAGAAAAAAATGAAGCAAAGAAAGTGAAACGAAATATGGGTGCACACTGAATGTGCGGATTATGAATCCGGAGTGTACATTTGCGATTTTTGCAAGTAATAAGCTATGCTTTATATTTTTATATTTTTTATTAGTTTTCGTTCGTTTATTTGTGTTTTTTAGGTAAGTTTTAGCTCATGTAAGGTGTAAGGATAAACTGCAGGTATTATGGAATACACTATTCCATAATACCTGCACGTTGCCTCGATATGCCAAAATGCACATTTTTTATTAGATTGTAAATATTTTTTGTTGTGTTCGTTAGAATGTTAAATCTTTCTGTACTTTTTGAAAATATATGTTCCTTAACCGACATGCTTTGTTTTCAATGTAATTAGACCTATAATTGAATATTAACATTTTTTAAGTAAATGGTATTCCATAATACCTTCCTTTCCTCTATTATTGTATGATAAAAATAAATTTGCCGGCAGTCGAAAAGCTGAGATTCACTGTAAATATTTTCTGAGGGATAACATTTCTTTTTGTTCAACATAACTTTCAAAATCCACTTCTGCGTAATTTCAATCTTTTTATAATAATTATTCATGACTCGCCCCCATGCTAAGGTTCTGTAAGATAGTAATGATTGAACAAGGGCACGATATACCATGTGTAGATATTTTTCGCTTAAAAAACTGCTGAAATATTTGACTTTCGGAATTTTCTTACTAAATTTTCAACATGTTTATTCTATCTTAGAAGGTTATCTATGAATACCCCTAGGTATTGGAAATTATCAACCCACTGTATGTTTCTGCAGCTATTCAACGTTTTAATTTGGAGTTATAGTGGTATATTATAATACCCCCTTTAACAACTTGCATCAATAAAATCAGACTTTACAATTATTTCGCAAACCAGGGGTATTTTCGTCTAATGTGCTTAGACTTATAAAATATTTACCAGCTTTCCGTTCCTTAATTTCCATGCGTATCCACTTTCTGCCTCTTGTTTGGTCACCCGTCCTTCATACGGACCCATTTGCACTCCTTGCGGTATTCTCTGCAAAGTGAAGACGCCAAAACCGTGAATTTTGGAAGTGCGTACTTCCAGGAAACCTTTAGGGCAGGTTTTTTTTGCCCTATCGTTGGTGTTCATTTTGACAGGGTTGTCCTTCAAGAAGGTCAGCTTCCCACATACCTTGCAATTGTCGAGGCATTCCTCTTCGCAATTGTCACAATCTGGAAATACGATTGAAATACAAGCATAGTCGATGAAATACGTGAAACAGCGGGATATACTTACAGATATATCTGTCGTCATTAGCCTCCTCAGGCTCGTGATAATCTTTTCTGGGCACAGAGCGCTTCGGGTACTTTTTAGTCGAAACTGAAATTGATTTTTGGTGTAATATTGACCATAGTCTAATCATATTAGACGAAAATACCCCTGGTTTGCGAAATGATTGTCTGGCTTTATTGCATGCAAGTAGTTCCAGATGGTATTTGAAACAGGGATTCATACAATGGGTAACATACAACATTTTTATTTATTCATGAGACCCACAAAATGAGACTTCGCGTTAAAAGATCCGACTAATAGCAAAAAAGTTATGGCCGAAAACCGAGGCAAACTGCATGGTTTGGCACTTGTTCGTAACGCAACGATGGTTTCTTGCAGA